TGAACAATTAGCAAAAGGAACATTAGCAATATATAATTATACAATTCCAAAAATAATAGAATTTCAATATTCTATTAATTTTTTTGTTACTGGATCTGAAGATTATCCTGAAAGATTAATTAAACCCTTTTCTGAAGTATATTTATTAAATGATAATTTAAAATTATTAGTTGATTATTATACTGAAATATATTTAAATGATAATCTTAAATTTTATACTAAAAGACAAGTATCTAATGATTCAAGTTCATATTTAGTTTCAAAAGGAATTATAAAAGCTAGTGCTTTAGAATTATGTAGTGAATATTTTGGATCTGAACTTACTCATTCTGATTTAGGTGCATATTTTTTAACTTTATTTAGAGATAAAAATGAATAAGCAATTCATTGGCCAGGAAAAATTAATTATTTTTTACAACACACTATGCTTCTTCCAGCTAAGTATAATAAAAATAATACAAATAATAATAATAATAAACTTGTTCCTATTAGTCATACTCTTTGTTTTGTAGATTGGTTTAACCAATCAACTATATCACAAAAAAATTATTTTTTATTACTTAATGATTTAGATTTAAAAGATAGACTTCCACTTGCTGAAATTTGGGAAACAAAATTTCAAACTAGATCTTATGAAAACTTTTTTCCTGTTCAAAAAATATTATGTAAATTTGTTAGAGGAAATTATAAATTAAATAATCAATCTAAATTAGTTATTTTACCTTTAAATAATAAATTAGCTTTTTAATTAAAAACAAAAAATTCAAATGAGAATTGTTGTTTTTGCTGTTTTTGTGACTCAAATCTGTTGAGTGAATTACACAAGTCTTTAAGACAAGAATCTATTTGCGTTTGTATACAATTTTACATATTCTTAATACCATTTTGCTAATTGGTATATAAAAATATATTTTGAGATTATCTATGTACTGTGGTATTGTGATCCTCTTGACTTCATTACTTGTCTCCAAAGAACTAATTGACGCAGTTTTGTAAATTTTAATAATTTTAAAAACTGTAATAATATATTAACAAAATATTATTTAAATATTTTATGATAATAGTTTATATTTCTAACTAGTTAATATACTAAAATTA